CATCCATTTATGATAGGTTCAAGATCAGCGAGTTAAAATCAACCCCAATAATTCTGCAACTCGCTGATTGGTCAGTCAACACTCCTCGATTTCTAGCAACGACCATTTCTTGACGATGTCATGGTCAGGGTAGAGGGTTGTCACTTCCCATTGGATTTTATCCTAGACATGACCATAATCGAGGAATTGAACTACATCCTCATAATCTTAAGACGTCCATTTCTAGCAATGGCCGATACAAATCTCAACTGTAAATCGGGAAAAATGGACATTTCATTAGGGGAGCAGAAAGTCTGGTTAAAAATTTTTAGTACCTCTAAGTATCCAAACCCAGGGGAAGATGAGTGCAAGGTGGATATAGTTGATGATCTTTTAGAGGCCCTGTCTACCCCATGGTTAGCCCAATCTGAACCCTGTCTGTCGGAAGATGAAAGTGAGTTGGGGAGTATAGATGGGAATAATGCGTGAATGTGTCTGGCTGAAGACGGTAAACTTAGCGCTGGTTGGGAGGCAACCCAACGTCAATTTCAGTTACTTTTAGTATTAGAGTTTTTATTTTATTTTATTGATTCGAGACTAGGTGGCATACCTTGAAGCCCTTAGGAAAACCCTACTCGTTGTTCCCTTTGACCCAAATCTTCTTTGCATCATTCTAATCATACCATTAGGGACAATGACATTTAAATTGGGGGGTGAGGAAAGAGAGAGAAAAATTGAAAAAAAAAATTGTGAAGCTAAGCCTTTAAAGATGGAGAATTAAAATTTCACTGAAATTTTTAAAATTTTTCATTAAAAGAGATTCTCAAATAGAAAAAGTTAAGGAAACTGATAAAAGAATATTGGATTTTGTAGAAATTGGTAGCAAGTGATAGGAGTCAAAATTGGTCTTGTTTGAATATTGTCGAAACCGTTTAGAAATTGGAAAATACTCCAAAGTTTGCCCCTACCAAGATAATGAGAGAAATATTGAGAAATTAGACAAAATTTTTTCAAAATTGTTAGAAACAGTGGACTACCCTGAACAATGTTTCCAAAATAAAAAAAAGAGAAAAAAAGAGGAATAAAAAGTCAATGGATACCCTAGACTTACTAACCAGGTCTCTTCACTTAAGTCAAGTGTCGAGATTCGCGTCAAACGGAAAAGGGAATGCCAAAGATACCTACCTAACACTTAGTAACTGGGTCTCTTCACCTAAGGCAAGTGTTGGGATTCGCATAAAACGGTGGAGGGTAACAAAAAATAAGTATGCATATCAAGTTCAGGGGTAGAAATCCATTGTCAAAAACGATAAGAAGAATACCTGTTTGATTTTAAATCAATCTCATTTTATCAAGATAGTCTTTAAATGGAAGGGTAAATAAGATTTTTAAGCATGTTTCTGTAATATTCAAAATAAGACAGTTTTACCCCTAAAGCCCAATACCGATCTATACAAAGTTTGAGAATACTGAATTCAGGATGCTTGATTAATTCTGTTAGGGATGACCTTATAATGGGAAAGATCTATATACTCAGCGTAATTTTATGGCTGCATTGCTAAGGGACTAGCAATGTTTAAGTTGGGGGTGTGATAACCCTGCATTTCGATGCCCTAAGGGCATCAATTCAGGGGTATTTTCAGCCTTAGAATAGTCAAAGTGTATCATTTTTTCAGTTAAATGCAATGTTGTGGCCTCTAAGGGTCTCTATGCAAATTCTAGGGAAAATTGGAGTTTTCATGGCTGAAATGTAGATTTTGGGAAGCTGGTGTGAAGTCCAGCTGAGAGAGGGGGTATTTTTGTGAAAAATTGAAAGCAAGAGGGCGCCTCCTAACTGCTAAACCCAATTTGGCGCCCCTCCTACTGTATTAACATGCTCCCCACGCCTTAGCAAACCCTAGGGTGCCTTTTAACCCATTCTTTTCACTCTCAACAAACCCTAACCACCCCTAATTGCTAAATCCTCACATTCCATCCCTTCTAATCTTCACCATCCATTATAGGGCCCTATCTTTTTAGCATTCTAACCTTAGGAGCCACCTAACTTCTAGTCTTCACCATTYAGCCTTTAGTCATTAAATCTCAGCCTTACATAATATTGGGTGCCTTATCCTTTTTTTTTTTCAGCCTTAGGATTACCCTAGAACCATCTTAACCCTTCATTCTAAACCCTAGGGCACCCATATTTTTGCTAAAACCCAGCTATCGCTCCCCTCTTTCTCTCTAATTCCAATTATATCCACCATTCTCTATWAAAAGGACCCTAAGGGCCCTGGAGAAGGGGTTGGTCAATTCACCCAGTTAACAAGGCTAAGGTTTCTTGAGGAGTTTAAGGGTTCTTCAACCATTATGCAACTACCGCCATTGGATCTGATCAACCATTCTTTTATTTTTCTTTATTTTATTTTATTTTATTTTTATTTCTACAATCTTTTAGATTTAATTCTTGTTCATTTCTCTGTTTTGTAGATCTGAATTTGTTCGGTTCAAGGCTAAGGTGTCTCGAGGGGTTCAATGGTTGTAGAAAGGACAGACACATGGTTCTTGTCATGAGGGGTTTCTGCAAGTTGTCTGGCCGATCTGCAGCTACAAAACAAACATACGTCTGTTTTGTAGAAAGGACAGATGCCCGGATCCAGATTCTGGATCATTTTATTTATTTATTTCTTTTATTTTCTTTGTTGATTCCCATACTTTATCAAATTCTGATTTTTATTTATTGTCTTGTTTAAATTCGAAACATTTAATTTTAGCAATAATAAATTTTATTTTTGTATTTTCTGCCATTCCCAATTGCATTCTCTTGTCCGAATCTAAGTATATATATTAATTTTTCACTTTCTTCCCTATGGATACGTCTCGCTCTCACCCATTTACTACGTTAGTAGTTGTTTGAGAAATTGTAAAAATTATAAATGTTTAAACTGGTGTTCCGGGGTGTTTTACGACGCTCTTTCGGACACATCAACAACTCCTTTGAGGGTGGCAACGAAGGCTTTGCACAGCGACCCCACGGACGAGCCATGTAGCATCATCAGGGCTTTGAAACCTTCAACGTGATCGTTGGGGTCTATAGCTCCATCGTACTTCTCGAATTGCGGAGGTCGCCAGCTGGCCGGAGGGAGCTCGTCCATGATTTCCTGTACGAAGACTAATTCCTTGGCAAGATGGTTGTGAGGTTCCATGGGCCGGACCGTTGGAGGAGTCGTGCTTTTGTCAGCTTGGCTGTGTTCCAACTCGGCCAGGCGTAAGGGGAAATAGTCTTGGGAGCCTGTGCTAGCAATCCTAGCGTCTGCATCATAGCAAGAATCTGATGAACCTTTTGCTACATCGCCTGGAACTCCACAGGGTCGATAGTGGCTTGCTGTTGGGGTCTTCTAAGGTGGAAAGTTGCGGTGAGAACGAGATCCCCGAGATGGGGATTGAGCTGCAGAGTGGTCGAATGTGTTTCTTGGCATGGTTCTTGATTGCGCAGGAGTTTTGGGAATGACTTCTCGTACGTTTCCCATAGACGACGCCAATCTGATGCTGTCTGATCCAAGGTATTCTGAATCAAGATCATAGTCAGATAGTCCTGCCAACTGGTGAAGCAAAGGTGGAAGGATGAAGCCGCGCACCAAGATCAAGATATGAAACCAAGAAAGAGAATCAGAGGCTCGAGGAGTTGTTCTCTGGGTAGGTACTCCGACGCTCAAATCAGTAATGGAAGAGATGGGTGGTCGGGTCGAGCAGTTGAGAATAACGTCGGTCCGAGAAGAAAATGAGTAACAGTATGAAGTCTGAAGAGTCAAAAGTCCTTTATCTTGAGTGGAGGTTACATATTTATAGCTGAAGATTTGTGTCTGATTCGGATGAAGCTTCCAGGGTTGTCGGGAGGAAGTTGTCCGCCGAGGTCTTCGGGGTAAGTCCTAATCCCCGACGGAGCTGTCCTCCTTATCCGTATGGGGCTCCTCTTCTTGGTCGCACTTATCCATCCTACGTGGTGTTGATGTTGCCGAAGAGATAAGATGGCCGCAGAGGTTGCCATGTGGCACCCAGGGCTAATTCAACCATAACCCAAACAATACTATTTGTTAAAAATGTTTAATTTATTAACACATAAACAATTTAGGTATTTTACTATCATTTTTATTAAGATCATATTATAAAAAATTATATTTTAATTTATTATTTAAATAAATAAATAAAAATTTCAAAATAATTTAATGCTTTCTAACATATCTCTTACAAAATACAAAAAACTGGATTATCATTTGAGTGACAAGACCACTCAGTTCGATTTTTCGTTTACCAATAGCGGTGAGGGATGAAGGTGGTCGTTCATTCTCTACGTCTCTGCTACTCCGTTTCTACTATATTTTTGTGGTTTAATTAATTGACTAAATGTATTTTTACTGTTTAAAAATTGACTAACACTATTTCACTGTTTTTTATAATTAATTAATACTTTCTTTACTGTTAACGCCGGTTAACAGAAAGATTAAAAAGATGATTTTTCCCTTTATTCTTTTTCAATTTTTCAAAATAAAACAAGAAAAAGGGGAACACCGTTGCCGCTTCTGACGGCGAGAGAAAAGGGTCTGTCGGTGGTGGTCTAACCCATATTTACACATACATAAATCAACTAAATATTGTAGTTCAAAAATGATACCAGCGAAGGGAGAAGAATCATACATTCAGACCAGAACCAGATATATAGGACGACGATGGAGAACTCAGCCACCACTTTGGCTCCTTTTCTTCTTCAGAATTTGGTAACCTCTATTGGGCTTTTCTTTGGAGCTAAAAGATTACAGATCGGTCGAATATCTAGAAACGGTGAGAAAGACACCGAACATTCGAGACCTACCTTCTCCATGCCTATAAATATGGAATACATTCTCTACTAAAGCCATCGTTGATTACCAATTTCAAAAGCCTTCTCATCAGTATTCCAATATTGGTTTCATATTCTGTAATCGACATCCAAGTTTCTATTAAGTCCAACATTTCTAAGCTAAAGACAACACCACCAAAGAAGAATGTCGCTCATTTCTAGCATCTTCGGCGAACGACGAAGCAACATCTTCGACCCATTTTCTCTGGATATTTGGGACCCCTTCGAGGGCTTCCCTTTTAGCACAACCCTCAGCTCTGTGCCCAATTCGGCTCGAAAAACCTTTGCCTTCGTTAGTGTCTGCATCGATTGGAAGGAAACCCCAGAAGCACACGTATTCAAGGCTGATCTTCCAGGGCTGAAGAAGGAAGAAGTGAAGGTGGAAGTAGAGGAGGGAAGGGTCCTGCAGATTAGTGAAGAGAGGAGCAGGGAGCATGAAGAAAATGACAAATGGCACCGGGTGGAGAGGAACAGCGGCAAGTTTTTGAGGCGATTCAGATTGCCGGAAAACACAAAGATGTAAATCTCAGATTTGTTGATCTGGGGATTTTTGGAAATCTTAGATTCTCAAAAAAAAAAAAAAAGATTTCTCAAAAATTTTCATCATCCGGCTTGAAGAGGAATGTAAAGCAGGGTCTTGACTTATTGGTCTTATCGTTGAGGATGATGCAGGGTCTTGCCTTCGTCATCGTTTTCTCAAAAATCTTCATCAGTCTTGCCGTTCAAGATGATGCCGCTGCAACCCATGGAGGGTTAGCACGATGCAGGTCCTCCTTTGTTCTTGAAGAAGACCTATGATATGGTCAAGGACCTGGCAACCGACCAATCTCCTTCCCAAATATTCTGCGGATGAACACTAGAAGTGTTATGAGCTTAGGAATACCACCGCCCTGCAACAGGGTTTCTGACGGCGAGAGGAAAGAGGCTGCCGGTGGCGGTCTAACCAAAGCGGCGAACCGTAGAGAAAGAGGCAGGGAGAGGACTGAACCCAACAGGAAAAAGAAGGGGAGAGAGAAAGAGGGTGAGGGAAGTGGAGGATAAAATTGAGTTTTAAAAAATATATATCACGTGCGAATGAGTTTTGATGAAATATTAACAGATTCTAACGATAAGGGGTATAGTTAGTCAATTATCAAAAATAGTAAGGATAGTATTAGTTAATTTCTAAACAATAAGGTATACTTAGTTAATTAACTAAACTATAAATGTAGTTTAAGAAATTTACCCTATTTTTATCATCTCCCCCATCTCTGCGACTCCATCTCGTTTGCCCCGGTTCTCCCTCATTCCCCTCCGTCTCTCCATGGTATTTAATCGAATTCAAATCATTACTTTTACAATCAAATTCGAATTCAAACTTAATCTGATTCAATTCGAATTCGTTCCGTTTATAGACCTAATAATCGGAATGGTTCGGGATCCATTCTTTTATCCCTATTAATAATCCGTTTGAGACTGATTCTACCTTAAACCGACCTAGTTACTGACTTACAGCCCTATTTAATTTCTAGCCCTATATTTGTATTGTCGATTTTCACTGCGTAAACTGGAATTGTTGCACCAGAGATTGGAGAGAGAGAGAGGTCTCACTCTGATGGGTGATTCATTGGTTAAAAATTATATTTGGTTAGTTACGTAATTTCTACTTTTCTATTATTCCTATCTTCTTCTTCCTTCGCTCCATGGCTACACAACGGGAACAGCAAACACCCAAACCCAAAACCTCCTAACCTTGTGCAAGTTGGATTCTAAAGTCTCCTTTACAATCAATAGGAAACATTACCAACTACCCAGTTCGGTTGGGATTAAGCCTTCTCAGAACGCCTTTTTGACAATAAAAACTAACCGACAAGAAATTTTGCTTCACACGAGGCGTGAAATTGAATATTGCTTGGTTTCAAAATCGTCAAATATGTTTTTTTTTTAAAAAAAATTCATAAAACAAGTTGAATCACTAGATATGCAAAAAATTAAAATTTGAAAAATTTGAGAAAATCTCAGACCAATTTAGAAAATTATAATTTGAAAAATTTTCAGATCAGCCAAATCATTTTAATATAAAAATAAATATATTACAGCCTGATCTCGTTTTCAATACACTTTAGGCCATTCTCCATTCTAAAGGCAAGTTGTTGGGTGTCGTCAAGGCATTATGAGAAGTAAGCCTCAAGCAGAATAAATAATTAAAATTGTAAAAATAATTAAAATTTTAGAGATATAATCCATAAACAATAAAGATATAAAAAACATATAATTGATATTTTATATAATTTTATATGGTTACATGAGTTTAAATTCTGCTAAAATAATATTTTTTTTCCAAAATCTGGACATTATAAGAATCATCTATTTGTGCATACAATAAGTTAATACTATATAAAGAGGATATTTGTCTTCGGGTCCATAAAAGTTATAAAATTAAAACCCACTACATATGCATAAGACATGTTCTTATGGAGGAAGGAGCATGACAAGTGAATCCATTCATTGCTTTGATTAGAGTTCACATTGAGGCACACTCCGTAGGCCCACATGCACATCTCAGCATGTATTGGTAGGAATGGTAATGGGGTGGTTTCAGGGCGGGGATCATATTTTTCGTCTCTGCTCCCGGTTCTGAAATTAATTTCTATCTTTGTTCTTAATCCCCGCCAGGGATGGGTTCTTCGCGGAGACTCGAATCCCCAAATTTTTATAAATAAAAATTTTAAATTATAAATAATGTTTAAATATATTTTGATATATATATATACACATTTAATATAAATAATAATCCCTGCTTGGGGTCAGGGCAGGGTGGGGACCTCAATCCCCATCCCCAACGCCAACCCCAATTGGGGATTCCTATTAATCCCCGTCCCTATCTTCGCCCCACCAAAACAATCACCATTGAAAATGGAAAAAATTGCCATCCTTTAGGAACATTTCCCTTACTTGTCATTGGGATATGTTCCCAATCAGCTAATTGACACCTTGCGTTCCTAATACATAATTAGGATGTGCCTATGCTGTGTGCCAATTCCCCTGCTTATATTTTTGATCAAAAGAATATGGATTAATCTTTCCCCAAACCCTTTCAATATATATGTGATGCCTTAAAAGTTCCCAACATCCCAGGATGTTGGTCCCCAATAGCCAAATTTTTCCAATATATATAATCTTAGAACGATATAATTCTAAATGCATTTGATGTTTGGGCTGATTGCCTCTATATCCAATTAGAGTAGTATCATAAGTCATGTGAGACAGACCTTGTAAGTTTTGTAACATAGACAGAAATCGATAACCAGGCGAGCGACTAACATCCCATATCAAATTGTTAAAGAAAAAATAGAAAATTAAATTGGTAATCCAAGTATCTAAAATTCCCTTGGCTTATAAAAGTTACAATAGAAATAGTGAATCTATTACTCTTCTTGGTAATCAAATGAAATTTATTGAACTAAATAGAGAAGACCATATCCAGTCAGATATATAATTCAGCACAAACGGACTCAACACATGATTGAACGTTGGGTTTATGTGACAAAATTTTGTCTAATCTATCAGAATTACAACCATTATATTGAACCCTAACTCTATTAATCTTTGCCTTTTTCTTCTCTCGTCAAACAGTCAAGTTTATTCTTTGTATSATGAGGAGAGCCTCCTAAAGTTTAGTTTCTTTAGTGCAAAACTCTCAATTCTTAAGTGAGTGAACCTTAATTCTATTTTACACCTATATAAATAATAAATTTATACATGCAAAATTAGCAAGCCGCTCAAGCCTTCTACATTAAGGCCGATGTATGGATATCTGGCTAACCTGCAAATCTTGACATGTGGCATTGGTCGGATGCATCTTGGCCATCCATCATCAACCACTACCAATAGCCGCCACCTGCTTCCAACTGCCCCTCTTCTAAGAAAATTTCGGCTATAAAAGGGGCTCCCACGTTGAGGTAAAGACACACAGACTTAACTTTTAAGTTTTCTCTCTTACTTGGTCTGACCCTTCACATTTCTCGGCTAACTTGATTGTTGGAATCTATGCCCTTGGGGAAACTCCCATGGTCTCCGATGTCTTCTTTCTCTAAGCTGGTTGGACCCATCGGCCTCTAACATCAAAAATTACTTTATTGCCCTCAGCTCCATATTTGACAACAACAATTAGTGTCATCCATGGGAAACATCTTCAAAACTTTTCCCTAAGAAAAACAAACCTAAACTAATCAACCAATATCTTCGAAATGGCTGACAAGCATGACACCATTCCCAAAGGCTGAACAACATAAGGCATCCGACATAGGGTGGGCCCTGTCGGAAGCCATGGACAACAAGACGAGCGATCCACCCATACCTTGCTAAGCCAGTGCGTAGGCGGCCTGGAGGGGACTGATCCCTTGGAGTCCAATAGTAGCATCCAACAGGCTAGCAAGCCCCATTCCAAAACCCCTTGGCTCCCCAGCTGAGGGTGCGACCAATCGGGATGATGGCGGGCACTTGGGCCACTACAATCCCCTAGGGGCGGGAGGCCAGCATTGTACCTCTCCCTAGCAAATTTCCAACCTCTGCAACCTCCTCAACGATCATCATGCTAGTAAGGCCTAGGACGTGTCGACGTTCGAGTAAGAGAGAATTAGTACCAAGCCAAAGCAACAATGCCTTACATCGAACAACAACTCGAAGATATTCAGGTGCAAATTGGTGCCATTCAGGATCAACTTCGGCAAGTAAAGGAGGGCCGAGGTGATGCCTCCGCCAGTTGCTATGCCTCATTCACCCGGATGGAGGCCTTCGTGGATTCCATCATCTTCGAGCCCCTTCCGCTAAATTTCAAGGCCTTGACGCTAGAGACCTATGATGGGAGTACAAACCCCGATGACCACTTGGAAAGATTCTAGGACCTCATGCGCCTGCACGGATGCTCCGGTGCCCTCATGTACTAAGCCATCCATGCCACATTCAAGGGAGCAGCATGCACTCGACACTACCTCCACACTCCATCGACTCTTGGAAACAGTTCATGGACCTCTTCCTATGTCACATTCAAGGGAGCAGCATGCACTCGACACTTGTGAGTAGTTGACGGTGTTAGAAGACTATTATCTCCCTTATGCCAGTTAAGCAGTAGCGCGAGGAGAGCCTTTGGGTGTATATGAAGAGGTTTAACCATGAAGAACTCGAAGTCAAGGACCTCGACCCCTTCGTCTCTATGCACGTGGTCATTAGTGGCCATTGGCTTGGATCCCTTAATTGGTCCATTTCCAAAAGTATATCACCATCAAGGAGGCCGAAGCCAACAAATGCCTATGAGATTCGAAAGCAGGGCCTAGTGACAAGAAAATGAAAGAAAGGGATTGCTGTGGTGACGGCCCCACCATGCCTACAAGATCTAGAAGCAAGGCCTAGTGACAAGAAAAGGAAGAAAAGGGATGGCCACGATGATGGCCCCACCAACAAGGGTGGTGAGATGAAGTCACTGACCCCTTCCTTCAACAAGTACACACCACTAAACTCTTCCTGAATGCACATATTGATGCG